GGAGTACTTTAATTTTCTTGGGATATGGGTAGGCTCCATTCATTTGATCAAATCGTCACAATATCTAAAGCCTTTCGCATTTTTTGCTAGTCCCCGAAGACAACTATTGGACTATAGATTTTGAAATCATTTGCATAAGCACAGCATGATACGCCACAAGAGGAAACAAGTTGCGGTAGGTCATAGGCAGAACGCCACCTTGGGGTACTCCGCTGCTCATAGATCTAGGACTAGAAAAGGTATTGTTCACACACACTACAAAAGTGCGGTTTGACAGGAAAGCCTCAATCCAAGCAACAATGCGAGGATGTATTCCAACCACCAATAATCTGTGCACACGTTTTTGACGGTGAACCTTATCAAATGCTTTAGCAAAATCCAAATGAATGACATCAGTGCCCTTCCCAGCGTCTAAATTGCGGGTCCAGTCACTCAAGCAATGCATAGCTATCGTAGTAGACTTCCCTTTCTGAAACCCATGTTGCGCTGTAGATATAACTCCAAGAAGATTGAGATGTTTTATTATCTGTTTTTTGATTGTTTTTTCAAATAATCTAGCAAAAATGGAAATGCTGATTGGGCGGTGGTCGCATACAAATGAGTAAGGTTTTCTTTTGGGGATGGGCTTCACGTATGAAATCTTTTATCTGTTAGGGACCTCAGACCTCATTAAACTGAGATTATATAGGAATTGCAGAGGCATAGCTATCACATGCGCTACTTCTTTGCTAAAATGGAGTGGTCAGGGGTCAAGGACTTGGATGTAGGCCATGCCCGAAGCATCTTAAAGATTGGCCCGTAGTAAAGCTAACTCAGTTCAGGTGAAATGAACTGAGGCCCTCATCCTCATTCGGTAAGGTAGACTGACTATCACCACCTTCCTATGCTGTAATAATGCAAAATGAAATTTCAGCTGACCGTCCGTCTACCTGGTGAGCTCGTCTACCTTACTTAAGTCAGTTCACATCCAGTTAGACGACCAATTGACTTGGATAGTGTGTAAATGATAATACGCAGAGAAACTTTTCGTAAGTTACTCTTGAGTAACTTACAATACACGTCAGTTTAACATGTCAAAGTACTGAGTGAGGAGCCACAGTGCACGCTGACGATACTCAGCAAGATCAAACAAGTGGGCCACATCTCCGCCGGTGTATCAATCACTTAGATGTGAATGTTTAGCGGACGCGTTTTGACTCGTATACTTGCATAAAAGTGGCCTTCTTAAACAGATCATCGTGGAGGTTGGCATCATCAATCAATGGCTCGACTGAGCGCAAGCTGACTCGTCGAAGTTTTAACTGAATGTTTATTCCGTTGATATCGAATGAGGCAGCTTTACTACCGGCCATTATTTGTCATCAAAATAGACAGCATCCTCCATCACCGCGAAGCTTGGGTTAGGGACCTGAGGTGAGTCGCTACACCCATACCTCACGAAGGTGCTTTCGAAAAAGTCCGCGACATTCGGCTTTATCCAGGTTAGAGTAAAAAACCGTATCACTGTTAGAAAGGACAACACCCAATTTATGCCTTTCCTTAAATCTCATATTGAGAAGTTCGTAAAAGGATGACTTATTATCAGTGGCAATTATCTTTTTTTCTAAATTTGTAAAGTATTTTCAACCTCTTCTCAAATCTGTGGTTAATTTTCTTGCAAAAACTTGATGCCCTTGGGTTAGCGCTGACCTAGCTTTATGCCATGCTCTTGCACGAAAGTGAGAAAGGGACACGATATGCCGCGGGAGTGGAACCTTGTGAACTGGGGCCTGAAGAAGTTGTGCACAGAAGATAGCTGACAAGGGAAGTCACTTAACTTGGGTCGGCCTTTTGAAATGAGACACATATATTTAGAATCAGCTCGGAACGCTGATTCCAAATATGCTGTTCTTAGCTGCGAAGCATTTCTCTGAAGCGAGTTATGAGCTTTTCAGCATGTGTCACTGACATACAGCTGAATATGGAAAAGGGCTTGTAAACGGAATCTGCTCAAAAACATGGTGGAAAATCGAAATAACATCAAATTGAGTCATTTGGCCCTGATAGAGCGTTTTATGCATTTGAACCACTACCTAGACGGTGATATCGTAGCATCCGTAAGTTGGTCAACACGCAAGCTTTGTTCAGGAAAAAGCTCATAACTTGCTTCAGTGTGATGCTTCGCAGATATGGATAGCAGATTTAAAATCAACGTTTTAAGCTGATTCTGATTATTGGTGTCGCTTTTCAAAAGGCCGACCTAAGTTAAGTGACTTTCCCTGTGAGAGCAAAAGAAAAAGCTGTCAAACAAGAAAGTTAGTAATGAATCAATTTTACCTTTTTCAAGCACGTTGAAATCCATTGCTTGATAGGGTGATTCTTCATGCTGATATTTTTCCCTGCTTTGAAAATGAGTAGCTCTATTCCTAGGGGATTTTTCTGGTTTTAACCAGTCCTTGCTCTTTCTTCACTGTAGCAAATGCACATGGAAAGATTTTGAAAATTCTTTTACAACCTCAATAAAATTTTGAGTTTCGTTATGTAGCTACCCTTCGATTCAACGAGATCGGCAGCTGAAATTCGGCCGTTCGCGCCCGCAACGCAGTTCCGTCTCTCTCGCAAAAGTGCTCTTTGATCATTGTCTAGCCTTGGCTAGGCCTCAAAGCCCCGCCTTTCAGCCACTTCAGTCGAATCAAAGAGCAAGTCTTATAAGGAAAGGATACTTGGTGACTCCCGCCATTTAAATTAGGTACTTGAAATCACCCAATTTGATCTATTTTACCGTTTAGAGCCATTAAAAAGAATCTTGAAAGGTGTGACGTTGTATTTATACCTATCTAAATCATATTTGGCACTAGAAGAGGAAAACAAAATTTTTATTGATGATTTTCACCCTCCGCAGTAGCGCAGTTCATTTTTGAAAAAATAATCATCCATCCAGATCCTCGTTTCGCAGATATGGAAAAAAGTATTCGAACCAGCATTAAAAGACGCATTTTTTGTATACAAACCATTATGAATGGCCGGGTCACCAAGTATCGTCTCTTGCTTAGGGGAGGATTTTCAATTAGTTGAACCAGAAATCCTCCCCTTCAGTGAACAAGGTTCCAAGATGCCACATGATCAGCTCTGATACAATGCAGCCCACGCTTGAAGAAGATAGGTTGGCGAATCAATTTTGACAAAACTCTCCGTCAATTGGTTTGAAATTATTTTTTTGTTGCAATTGGACGTTGATCTAAAAGCCAATGACACAAGGATTTGAAAATTCATCAAATGTTTTAGAATTCTTTTCAATGGAAGGGTTTTCACGAATCGTCGCGAAAAAATTCGCGACAAAGATTTTTCTTATTTTTGATCACTGTTTCATGAACCTCGGGATGTCTCTCTAAAAATACAATAATGTGGAAGTTTCAATTTTTTCTGAATTCTGAGCATGCCACGGTTTCATCGCATTTTTTCATCACGGTGAATCAATGAAAACCCCTTCATTGAAAGTAATTTAGGAGAATTTGATGGTTTTTCCAGTCCCTGTATTAGGTCTTTCCAAAAATCAGTGCTCGATCTCATGAAAATTATTTTGGACCTAGTTATACGAGGTCTCGACGGTTTCATTAGGACTGAAACCCGTAACCCGTCTTTTTCACCAGAGTTATAGCACCGCAGTGCCGCTTTTCAAAACTGCGTTTTAAATGCAGTAATGCGCCGGAAGTGCCGCATTGCTACAACTTTCTTCAGATTACTCCTATCGAGTGCTGGCTTGGATATCTGAAACCAGCACTGTCTGATGCATCTGACAGTATGTTTGAAAGTTGAAAAGTTCACAATTTTTTTGTACCCTACGGCGCAATAAATTCGATGTTGCGTCGGAAGTGCCGCATCGGAATCTTTTCACAAAACTACTCTTTTTGATTTTCTTTCTATATTTGGATTAAGCACAGCTTGTTCTATCTGATGCTATATTCAAAATCTGATAAAGTCAATTTTTCATGTGCCGCAGGGCGCAATAAACGCACTTTCGCGTCGTAAGTGCTGCATTGATATAAGCGCCTTCATTGTTATCCCAGAAAGGTCTAGTTTACACTGTAGTCATGAGTGTCTCTTGAGCTGTCCGCCAATGTGTTTGAAAGTCCATAGACCTCAATCTCGGGTGAATTACAAGTTTTAAATCCTATTGGTCCCTCTTTTTGCACTGATAAGCTGATAACGGTCTTCGAAATTATCCTAAAAATCTGCGAGCAGCACATTCAAAATCAGCGCTTTCCAAGCTATTCGCAGGTAGGGTTAAAAAGTTTAAAATGTCAACTTTTTTATTTCACATTTTATTGGTCCCTCGTGACATAATTAGCTAGGCTGGCACCGACCCCTGGCTGTAGGGGCTGCATTGTAACGATGTGAACAAAGTAATACAATAGAATGACAAAATTTTACTTTAACCATTTATGATTTTACTCAGTTCACCTAAGCACGGATATCTTTCACTTAAAATTCAAGATAGCGTGATAAGTCAAATGTTTAAAAAAATTCACTCCCACCCCCCCCCCCCCCCCCCGGCTAGCCGCGAAAATTTGTCCCGAGAGTGATGACTTAATCTTGATTGTTCCTTTTTTCTCTATTTCTCTAAGTCAGTTTAGTGTAACATCTTACAAAGGCTTACATTCACATGCTATTCATTTCGTGCTATGCAGACGTTTTCTTAACTAATCTGCTTCCATAGCAGCTCAGTGTGTGGGACACTCAACTTGATTGAAGAATTAATCCCAACAGATTGTCTGCAATCCGCTTGTGGGTGCGAAAGCCGGATCCACAGGGAGGAACCGAAGAAAAATCCATTTATTTTGCCATACCTCATAACGTTGCTTAGCTGACTCAAAGCTATGTGGCTTCGTGCTGGAGTCTACTTCTTTTCCTCAACTAGCCACTCAAGATCTTTTTCCTTTCGTGACGCATCTGTCAACACCATCTGACATTTAGGAGTTCACTAGTTGTCCTCCAAGCACCAAGCTATTATCGCGACATGAATGATAGAGTCGCAGGTAAAGCTTACGCGATTCGCAAAAATCAAGCGAAAAAATTCTACCGTAGTCCCATACTTGAAATAATATGTGCTTTGCTCAAAAGTCTATTGTTTTATTGCAGCTGATGCTCGAGGATCTTCTGTACGACCTTCTGCCAGTGCTTGGCTTCGTGCTTTTTGGTTCCAGTATTCTGATTTTGGTCGTTATGCGCAAATCAACGGGAGCGTTCCGATTTACCGTCTGGTTCGCTGTAAACGGTTCGTTACGAGTTTCTTTTTATTCCCACGGGAAAAGTACTTGATGGTCGTGGTTCCGATCATGCATATGCCATGAAATTCTCTTAAAGCCGTGGTCTCAAAACAGTATTCGTTAGTTGCGGAATATTTGCAACAGGGCAAGCATTTTGATGTATAACATATTCTAAAAAGACAAATTTACCAGTTATTTTTTCTTTGTGTAAAAAAAGCATTTCATCTTGGATAAAAATGGGGCAATAGGCATGAGGACAAAAAAAGTTGCATTCGACTGGTATGATCTATCCGATGTGAATTTCATTTAACACTATTAGAAATGTAGAAACAAGGCTTACCCATTTAATGCTTGAGATGATCTACGGAGTCGCAAACCTTGCATATGGATTGGTTTCGCCCGTTTTCAAGTACCTTTTTTTCATCAAAGAAGGAGGTGTTGTCACAACAGAAATCTCGTGTGTTTTTCATCATTTTCAATAAACTTGACATTTTTTGAAACCGCTAGTTCTACGGTTAGCCAACTACCGAGAGAGTAAAAGATTATCTCAGGTTATCGAGAATTTGCTATCCAAACAGGGAAATGATCAAAGTGATAATCGTTAGGAAAATGAGTTTGGTAAGGGATGAGGGTCGTGGAAATGCAGTTCTTGAACTTCAACTTCAGATATTGTATGGCTATCTACTCTTCTCGACTCAGGATAAGCCGATCTCATTGATACCTTTAGTTCAATTTTTGTTCGCCTGGCACCTCACATGGTCAAAAGACTGTTGAACTAAGCAACACATAAAATGTTTGGTACCTCCACGCGGTTAAAACTGCAACAATGGCATGTTTAATTCCAAAAGCTAGGTCTGAAAAGCTCGCATATAGATTTTGAGTCTACTTTTCAAATTCTTTGAGAAAATCCAATGTAAGATTCTCAATGACCTCAGGCAGATGTGCGTTATCGTCACTGTCATTATAATCTAGAATCTCTTGGAACAGCGCGAATTTTTTTTCTTTTATTTTCATTGGGCCTTCTAAAAAGTTTTCAAAAGGCCTAAAAGCATATTTTTGATACGAATATAGACAATTTTGTCACTCATCTACCAAGCCTTCTACAAGGCATCGACTGTGACAAAATGGGGTAGTTGGATTTTACAACATTGGCAGTCTTGTCCAAAATTTCCGTTAAGGGAAGCTACAGAAAAGTTTTTGAATGTAAAAATGGATGCTTTCCAAATTTCTGCGGCCCCATAAGCTTTGTATTTTGTACAAAACCTCTTTTACATTTCTTACAGCTAATTTGAAATTTTGAAAAATGCTAAAGTATAAACAATTCACATAGTCATTTTTATGACTCATGTGCGCAATTTTCAAGAATTTTGCGACTCATTCTGGGAGAGAGGGGACACTCCGCCCCTTGGTCCGCCGCTGACTATAGGTTATACCATAGATAATGCTGATGCCGTAAAAATTACAAGAAGACTCGTTGGCGTTCTGAAATAATTCTTCAGCAACCACATATGAAATCTAACACTTACTTTGCGCACATTTTGCGTTGCTGCTTGCGAAGTAGATAAAGACCATTTCTGGTACTCTAAATGGCTAACGTTATTTTCTTATTCTAATTGAACAAGCTTATATGCTCTTTGCAGCACTGTTTACGTGCAGATTGCATCTGCAAGAATTCTCTCAGTTTTTTGGTGCAAAGTCTCTACAAAGATATTGTTTATCAAGAAGATTGAAGAAGCACTAAAAACAGCACATGCATACAATCAACAGCTTGCTTAGAAGGCACTACGTCAGATCGATACCGACGATCTGACGTAGTGCCTTCATACAGTAATCCTAAGATGTGCACCCACACCTTGTTTTCAGCCCGCTCGTCTTCCGAAGATCTGAAATTAATCCAGGGTTATGCGCTTACTGCAGAATCATTTCTCCAGTCATAAAACTGATCGCACAGGAATTAAGCCTACGCAGATAACTTATACATCATCCCCAGGACATTCGATTTTTTCAGATCTCCTTGTGGGATTAGCGACCATCTATGCTGGTTTCTATGGAGTAGTCTTAACAATTTATGGTAAAAGTGGAGAGGTAAGCCCAACAAGCAGAATGAAATAAGATAAACGAAGAAAATTTAGATGGTTACACCGAGCAGATGCTTACTGCCTGCTATTCACGTTCCTGCATGGTTATTCTTCGATGTCTTTCATTTGCTATTACTTTTGATGTTTTGCTTCGATAGACTTATGTTGATGTTTGTGCCCGTGGCATACTCAAGGGTAAGTCAGGCGTTTTTTCCACTCAAGACCGCAGAGTGTACTAAATTGTCTAGACTATATACCGTATGAATTTAGGTCTCCGCCGTCTACCTGAATTGGGCAATTTTCTTCATTCTTTTCGTCGCCAGTGGCGCTTTTGTATCACCCGCATTTGCTCTTTCTATAGAGGTAATTTTTTCTAAGGTAACTGTGGGTTCAGCAAAGGGCCTGTCATATTCAAGAGATTTAAATTAAACATATCCTTCTTATCGACCACATCACTGTACGTTCGGCACAGCTAAGATCAGGAAGATTTTTAAATGATGCCCTTTTGATTTTACGAACGAAGTCCCTTTTGACCTTATTGACCCCTCTATTACTTCTTACTTGTCTTGTTTACCCGTGCTGTCGCTCACTGCGTTTTGGCTGCAAACAAGACTTTTGCTTGTTTGGAGCACATCTTAAAATTCCCGCTATGTTAGAGAAAAATAAAAATATGCGGACTGTGATACCGGTTCTTGATCAAGTACTACAATATCGATACATATCTCTGCAATTTTTCCAGGGCTTCGCCCTTCACCCCGAAGTAGCGCTCGGCATGAGGTGACTTTTTCAATTTTATCTAAGACGAAGTCCCATAGACTTTGCCACAATTGGACGATATCACCTATAACGCGATCATGAATGGATCACATAAATAACAAAAATAATGGAACAAAACATAAAACAATATTGAACAGACGAAAAAGAAATAATGAAGATTGTATTTTCCGAACTGGCGGCATGCTATGTCCGGCGGGCACCATTGCACCCTTGGAGCAGGCTGCCCCATCATACAGAATCTTTGGATTGCTGTAACTGGGCGAGGAGGAGGGATTTGGGGAGATTCAAACACTCAACTACAGGGTTCTTGATGTAGGACAAAGTTAAGTTAAACTTGTGAAAAAATATGTAAGGAAAGGAAAATCTATGACTTCTTTTCACAGCCATCCCAGGTGGCTGTCCAGGTGGCTGGAAAGCCACCTAATTCTTAAAAAAGTTTGCCACGCCTTCACTTCACATGAATTTTTCATACAGTGTCCTAACTACGTATTGCTCATCTATTAGGTTGTCCCATAATCTTTTCATATCTGACTTTTCACCAGCATAAGACTGCTCTTCTTAAATTTCCGATGGAATGTGAGGAACTATTCGAAAGATCAAAGCGACCTCTACAATATGGTTTTCAAAAGTTCATACTAGGCTTGATCCGCATCGAGTTTGAAGACAAGGAAAAAAATCCAATGTCCCGAAAACGAAAATAATTGTATCTCAGTTCAATATATTTTGCATAGTTCCCACTTGCTTAGCATACTCCCCCATCAGATATATTTATATGTACACGCTGCATTTTTGTTATGGCTAGAAATCAAGAAAAAATAATGCGCTTAATTTCCAAAGTTTGCCTGTAATGGGTTTACGCTCCTCGCAAATATGTGACTATATAGTTTATTCACTCAAAACACTCCCACAAATTTGCGCTTTTATAGATGCCTTAGTTTTGAGAAATATCATTTTGAAGGTACGAATATGAAAAGACTAATGGTACAACTAGTACACACCAATTTTAATGTCATTTCATTCTCTCTTCACTATGAACAAGGCTTTTCTTTAGTTTTAAAGTTCCGATTTCTTTAAACCTAGGCATAATTCGTATAGTAGAAGTGCTTCTGTGCCAAACAGGTTTGTTAGGTGTTCTTTATTTATAAACACGGCCTAACGTTTTGACGCCTTTCGTCTTCCTCAGAGACCCTGTGAACACCCCAAAAAGCAGTGTTCACAGGGCCTCTGAGGAAGACGAAAGGCGTCGAAACGTTAGGCCGTGATTGGAAATAAAGAGCACCTAACAAACCTGTTTGGCACAGAAGCGCTTCTACTATACGCTTTTGTTTAGTTCGTGGCAGGTTTTTGAATTCGCGCGCTCAACCTGCGAAATTGTTGAAACAGGAAATTTTTGGTTTTTGCAGGATTGGGATCGATAAGGCAGGAATAACAAAAATGAGGGGCGAAGTAAGAGGGAGAAAATGATTGTGTAAAAGAATAAAGTGCAGGAAAGATTCCTCTTCCCCTTTGCGGGATTTGCAACACCGTAGAAGAAAGAGAGTTTATCAAAAACACAAAGGAAAATAATCAACGACTGGGCGAAAGAAAACAATGAGCCGCCTCCAGATCCAAAACTCTAACGTGCACTTGTGATGATGCAACACCGGCACTTGCGACCCGCCAAGATGGCCAGTGGTCCTGCCGCGAGCAGGGAACGCGGCAGACAACAACATTCAAAACAACATGAACAATGCAAACGAATAAAAAGTACTATTGCAGACGCATTATCACCCTCCTCCACTCTTGCGATTGTCTTCTCATCTAATTGTGGGAGAGAGGGTGGGGTTTTCGTAGACGATATTCCCCTTGCTTTTTAAACCAAAACGATATCCGGCTTGTTCCGTAAGCTATCTACGCCGAGTGCTGCCCAGGAAACAATATCTCTTTGCTTTCCCTTAAAAATGATATTCACCTTTATTCGGTTTTCACTGCGCCGAGCCCTGTTTCCCAAGCTGTGCGAAAGATAGTGCTGTGTTGTTCCTGATCATTTGCTTTTTTTTCTGTATCCTACTTCAAATAATTATGTATTACAGTCGCTCCGCAACGAGTCGATAGTAATTCCATCCATTTGTCGACTAGCTGACGTTACTGGAGAAAATTACTACCTCATGCACACGTTGGCGATGCAATGGGTGCCATTAGCTGGTATGTTGAATCTGCGAAATTCTAAAAAAATTTGAGAGATTCGTGAGATTTTTAGCGTTTATATCCTTCTGTTGAGCCTGACAAAAGCCGTTCGAATTATAAGGAGTTGCATAAAAATTCTTATAAAGAAAAAATTGTTGAAGAAATTGTAGGAATGGCTTGTGTGATGCTATCATTGCTAATGTATGGAATTAGACGTACAAGGCAAAAGTGGTCCTACAACTGGTCTGAAGAATCGGAAAATTCAAAGCAGGTTGGTGTCTATAATCTAGCTGACCAAAGGTGTCCTTGTAAAAATGAGTAATATTATGGTGAAATTTAAAACTTTAGCCGTTGTCGGTAACCATCCTATTTTCTTCAAAAAATGCTTAGCTTGAGCAGTAGGGTAGCGAACGACGTCTAAGAAATTAAGTCCTACTCTTGTGCATTGGTAAACTTCTGTTGACTTTTCATTACCAACCATTCAAACTGCATTTTTCTCTGCTTTTCCTTCCACATATTCTCAGTCTAGTTGAGCTGATCATTATCAATGCGGGGGACTGGGATTATCTTGCTTGAACATTTTTCCATCGTCTCAAGACCAAATTGCAGTGTTCTGCATGAATCGTTATTTCCGGACCAATGACGCTGAGTTTTGACAAGGGTGTAGGTGAAAACTTATGCAAAAAGTATTCATGGTTGACGAACAACCCTCTGAGCACGGAAGCTTTTCTGAGAAGTTCAAGAGTATGATGAAACTTCTTTCCTTACCCCTTCAAATTTTTTGATGTTTCACCAAATTTCCGCCTGGATTCTATCTTCCATTTCAGCTATACGTCGCAATCTTTCTACGATGTCTCCTTATGGTATTTTCGGTGCATGTTCCACTTCTTTTCCTGTATCGTACTCCATCAATGAATCAGCTTGACGATATCAAAGACTTTCTTGTAAGGTTAGTGACATCTGTGGCATGATTGACTACATATAGCCATCTATTATACTTTGTCGGAAGCAAGGAGCGTGGGGGAGGGGGGGAGTATCAAAGACGAAGGTTTTGAATGAGACATGAATTATACTATTTGTTTTTATTGTTGAACTAAAATCTCTAATGATTTTTAAAAAATGAAAAAATCGTAAGAAAGGTTGGGGGAGGAGCTCCAAACTTTTTTTGCAACTTTTCACATTAACTCACAGAAGAAGGTTTTAAACAAATTTTTCTAATGCGTGACTAGAGCCAAGCTTCTTTATTGAGCAAAATTTCCTCCACTTGAAAAAACCCCTCAAGGAATGATCCTAGGATTCCATACTATACATTCGTTGGAGCCTTACAACCTCTTTGGTACGTGCTCGCGATGCCAGAATTCTCTAACAATATTCGTCTTCTTTTCAACCAATACGGACAGAATACAGAAAGGAAGTGGCAGAGTGCAGGTAATAAACTTTATCAAGTTTATGTCTAACCAGCCTACAAAGATTTTGTTCCAGATGATCCGCCTCAAAGCGTAGATAATATGGATCCCCATGGAGATGTAAATCCATGGGGATCATGGTATTCATCAGCAGGTAACGTGACTGGAGAAGCCGGTTTACCTCTTGGAAACGAAAGAAGCATAAGTTTCTACTATGAAGGCCAATAGTAATATGGCAAAAACTAGTAATTTAAGATCTGCTGTTTTGCTGTTGAATTTTGTGCTTATTTGAACATCACGTTGTAAAGTTTGTATTATATTTTTGTGAAAGATTGCAATGCAGATTACATTTTTTGTCTTTTATCTCGAGTGATTTTGCGACCTTCTCTGTCTCTAGAAGGACGAAGAAAAAAGTAGATCGTATTCGTGGGAGGTCTTTTATTGTCGTAGATCGTGAAGCGACTGATCCCACACACGGACTGAACGACTTTGCATCCGATTAAGATAGTTCTTAAATGAGAGAGACATCAGACGATGGAGCGATGAAAGAAAGCACTCGATCAGCGAGACGTAAACAACACCCGTAGCGGCACCCGGTCTTTGCGTGCTATGAATGGCCTATAATGACCTTGACAAATGCTAGGGCTTAGTCGAAGAACAAAGACAGTGTTTCTAGAATAGCATTCTCATTCTCTAGAGGATAATGAGAATGCTATTTTTTACAGGATAGGATTGTGTTTCTCCGATAAAAAGGGATAGCTCAGTCTTGCGCCTCTTAACAACTAGCATAATTAGTACTTACTAAGAATGGGACTTTTCTTGAAAACTTACATCATGTTCTTGCAATGCGTGGGTGTTATCATGAACCAAAAATAAGAGGTGTGGCTGCATCTACTTGTAAAGTTCTAGCCACATTCATAACTTCACTTACAATAAAATTTCAAAGATGAGGCCACTTTTTTTCACACATAATATAAAAAAAATCATAAGTTTTTGTTTCATTTTTGTTTTTTAGGAAAAACTTCTTCCATCTTTTTGTCATTCTGCAGCTTTCCGTGGCTCTGATTACCGATATAAAATGGAAAATGTGTAAAACCCTTGGAAACCCGATCTCTAGGAGCCCTATCCTGGAACAGTGATTTTCAGTACCTGGTGGGCGGAGCTTGAAGGACAAGCGTGGCTTGGTAACACTTTCACGAAAACCAGATCCATTTTCTCCACTCAGAAGCCACACTAGAGAACTGGACCAACTTTTCTTACTCTTACGGTCTTTTCCAGCTAGGCAACTAAGGGGGAGCATACTGCCTGGACACTGCCTTTGACACCGTTCATTCAAGTCCTCGATTTCCATGTTTTTGTCGTTCCGGGGCCTTCTTCTAACCCTGATCCGAATATCTGGTCAAGAATCCGCGAAAACCCCGACAAACCCCTTCCGCAGAACCGGCAGGGCGAGTTCTACGGAAGGATGATTGGTTGGGTGCACGGATGGGCGGGACGACGCAACGCCCACTCAAAGGAAGGAGCCAGCATGCGAATCTGTCATCCAAAGCAAATTTCGAAGCAAATTTCTCGCTTCAGAAGGAACTTTTGGCAACCGAGTTGTGCAGGTATAAAGTTGGGGCCCCGCTACTGTTAGGCAAAATCTCATCAACCCCATTTTGGATGGATGATGCCTTGAAACCCTCACAAGCTTGCATAGATTACCTCTTTACCTGAATCAGGTATAATATGTAACTTACAACTCCAGTAAGTAGACAAACGAAGTATGACATGGCCGAGCAAAGGGTATAGCCGTGTATATTCATGCGAACTCGGAAGCGTCTAACCTTCAGATGGCAAAAGAATAGTAATTACCCCCTTTTAAACTTTGAAATCTCAGCGAAACAGCTTATCAGCAAACACATCTGAGAAAGCAAGTTTCGAATACTGCTCGAGAGAATGATTGGCAAGATTCTTGCTAATTGCCATGATTTCAGAGTTTATTCTTGTTCATATGAATTCTTGTAAAATACCTCTTTTACCGTTTTTACGTCACAACTTTTATTGACGGATTTACTGTGAAATTCCAGTTGTTATGATCGGTCCTAAGTTCCAAATCACAGGCAGGAATGAAATTCTTAAAACAAAGTTCAGAGCGGATACGGTCTTGGATTTTATTGCACTCACCGCACTGTAATTAGAATAGATAGTCATGATGAAAAATGTAAAAAAAAGAAATATGATTTACTGACAGGAGGTTTTTTAGCTGCTGGTGCTGCCGGAACGATGACGAGCAGAATTGCAAGGAGAAACCCTACCAAGAAACGCATCTTGGACCTTGAAAGTTCTGAAAAAAAAACATGAAGAGATTGTAAAAAGCGTTCTTATAGTTTGGACTTCGACAGTTTATCTACAGTGACCGCCAAAAAGGTGCGGACAAGCCTCTCTCCCAATTTCATCGCTCTATTTCAGAAGGAACAAGGATAAAAAATGTAGTAATTGCATGAGGTGATAGAGCTCTTCAAGACCTACAATCTACACTTTGCGTTTTTCGAAAAACATGTATTCTAAAAAATTTAAAAAACTTTTTCTTAAAAAAGTCCGAAAATGGCCGCGTCACAATGTCGCGGACATAATTCTTCGAACGCAAAAATTTTCTTTTGAGTCCTATTCTGTAATGGAAACACAAGTAATCCAAACGGGTAAGCATACTACTATACAGAGCTCGTCAAGAACTACACAACACAATGGTTATGGTTGCTTCCCAGAAAACAAGGCTTGAATTTTATTTTGCTTCTTTTCAAAAAACAACTTCTAATTCCCTGCTTCAAGCCAAATTTCTTCACATGGAAAACCATGCAAGACATTCAAACAAAGCTATTCGGATAAAATGGATGCCCTTTGCCATCTTCTATGCATCGGACGTGTGCTGGTGAGTTTCTTCGCTGAAAATGGCTTCTGACAGTGCGTGTACATGACCACACCTGCACCTCACCACTGACTTGCACCGCTTTGCAGGCTTGTAACTCGGCTTGTAGTAAATGTGTGAGCCTGCAATTAGGCTCATTTAAAGAACGAGAATTCCTTTACACGGTGGTATGCAAAAGCGATGGGTATAAGAAACAGCGGAGATTTGGCGGATGGGGTGGAAAAATGCGGCCTCATTGGTAGGGTGAGGATATCCAGCTAAAGTTGAATAGAGCTTCTTTCGCTACCAGTTCAATCCTGAAAGCTTAAAACTGTCAATGTTCTTGTAATAGATTCATTTTCAAGCTCTAGAACTGTTTTGGTGTTGATAAGAGCCTTCACTCCAACCACCAATGAGGCCGCATTTTTCCACCCCATCCGCCAAATCTCCGCTGTTTCTTATGCCCATTTCTTTTGCATACCATCGTGTAGAGAATCTCCGCTGTTTCTTATGCCCATTTCTTTTGCATACCATCGTGTAGGAATTCTCGTTCTTACAAAAGAGCCTAATTGCAGGCTCACACACTGACCACAAGCCGAGTTACAAGCCTGCAAAGCGGTACAAGTCAGTGGTGAGGTGCAAGTGGGGTCATGTACACGCACTGTCAGAAGCCATTTTCAGCAAAGAAACTCACCAGCACACGTCCGATGCATAGAAGATGGCAAAGGACATCCATTTTATCCGAATAGCTTTGTTTGAATGTCTTGCATGGTTTTCCATGTGAATAAAGTTGGCTTGAAGCAGGGAATTAGAAGTTGTCTTTTGAAAAGAAGCAAAATAAAATTCAAGCTTTGTTTTCTGGGAAGCAACCATAACCAGTGTGTAGTTCTTGACGAGCTCTGTATAGTAGTATGCTTACCCGTTTGGATTACTTGTGTTTCCACTTCAGAATAGGACTCAAAAGAAAATTTTTGCGTTTGAAGAATTATGTCCGCGACATTGTGACGCGGCCATTTTCGGACTTTTTTTAGAAAAAGTTTTTTAAAATTTTTAGAATACATGTTTTTCGAAAAATACAAAGTGCAGATTGTAGATGTTGAAGAGCTCTATCACCTCATGCAATTACTACATTTTTTTATCCTTGTTTTCCTTCTGGAATAGAGCGATGAAAAAGGGAGGGAGGCTTGTCCGCAACTTTTTGGCGGTCACTGTATATGTAGCGCCATAATTTTTTTTTACTTTTTTACCAATGAGAAAATCTCACTATACACAAACTGGTTTTTAGCTTGGGCATTTTTCAATTAAGCATTGCTTGTGATATCTACGACAGTCGGATAATGCATATTCGGAAAAACAATTTCCTACAGTATCCCACTTGTTTCAATTTTCCATTCACTCTTTTCCAATTTTTTGATCACTAATTCTTGAAAAAATTTGGATTTACATAGAAAGCTCAAAGACGCACAATCGCTAAAATTTGCACACGGTAGCCGAATTTCGCGCAGGTGAGTTCTATGAAAGTCAAGCTTTCAACTCTCTATAAGCTAATCTTTTACTTTAGCCCGTAGTAAAGATGCTTCATTCGATCTCAGCTGAATAAAATTTCAGTTGAGGCTTCGACGAGTCAGCTTGCCTTCAGTCGAGCCATTGATTGATATTTCCAACCACTCACGATGATACGATTGAGAGCGCCACGTCCAAGCAAGTATACGAGTCAAGACGAGTTTGCCAAACATTCACATCTACGTCATTGGACTAGCGGCGGGGATGTAGCCGCACTTGTTAGATCTTGTTAAGGCCCGTATGCACGTACATCCCCGCGGGGAGGGGATGTGCGTTTTACCATTGAAATGATCCCCGCTGGGGATCCCCTCCCCTCCCCCCGCGAACCCCCGTATGCACAAAGACAATATCGGACAAGGGATCCCCTGTGGGGAGGGGAAGTGAACCCCCTTATGCACAAGAGGGGATCAAGCGGGGAGATCACCTTGCTTTCAAACTTTCTATGAAAAACTCCTTCTTATTTCATATTTTGACTGCAATTCATCTTCATCTCCTCAATTTCGATGATTTAGGGTTGCGGAATGCGCGCATGTAGTGACTGCGCTCGGGGCATCAAAAATGATTTTTTCTACTCCCATTATGTTCCTGCTTTCTTGGATGCTGCCCACTTTCGCTCATGCTGCCCCATTTCTGCGTAAAATGTTGAACTATAGAAGTTGAGGTGTCTCTGCAGGGGAATGGATAGGAGCTGTCATGCTGCCGAAAAAGGGGGGGGGTGCCGCGCGGACGCTCAAAGCAGTATTTTAACACATAACAGAAGCTGCAAATCGTGCCAGCTCTCCATAAACGCTGTAGCTATCAGCTGCATATCGTCCTTTATCCCAGGGGAATGATCCCCAGCGGCCATCCCTGCTATGCACAAGGGGAACGCTGCGGAGGGGATCACTCCCCCGAGGATCTCTACTCAGAAACACGCGAGTCTGCTGATTTTCATTTCATTCAAAGCAATTTTACGTTAGAATAACAAGATAAAGACAGTTTATCATATAATGTGATAGTTACAATACGTTGTACCAGCCTTTATGGATAAAACTATTATGTCAAATAGAAAACGCGCAACTCTCGTGAATGGTCTCAAACTTCTACAGATATTCGAAACTGGCAGATATATGTCCGGGTTTCTTTACAAGAAGCGAATATGGAAAAGAGAGTTAAAACTGCAAGCTACAGGTCGCTGAGAGAGGAACCCGGCTCCCGTAGAAAATCTTTCATCAATCTGAACGAAATGCCTTGTAATAATTGATTGAAATTAGAATACTTGCTTCTCTGGATTGATCTACACCATCGAACCCCTACTCCGTTGTAGGGGATGTCGATCCCCTCCCCCGCGTTGTTGAGTTGAATTCGCGCATACGGGGTTCGAGTGGGGGAGGGGAAAGGATCCCCTCCCCCATTCGAACCCCGTATGCACTGGGGTTCGCTCGATCAATACCTCTGAAACCATTCACACCATCCCCGCTTAGGTGCAGGGGAGGGGATCGCTCCCCTCCCCTCTGTCATGGCGGGGTTCGGCGGAGGGGATCGTTCCCCTGGGGATCCAGCTCCCCTCCCCTCCCCAGCGGGGACGTACGTGCATACGGGCCTAAGTCTCGTCAGCATCACTGTGGCTCCTCACCAACATGTTAAACTGACGTGTATCTGTATCGCAGAGAAACTTCTCGTAAGTTACTCAGGAGTAACTTACGAGAAGTTTCTCTGCGTATCATCACTGACACACTATATAAATCAATTGGTAGTCTAACTGAATGTGGACTGACTGAAGTAAGGTAGACTACCTCGTCAGGTAGACGGACGGTCAGCTGAAATTTCATTTTGCATTCTTACTACATGGGAAGCTGGTGATAGGCAGTCTACCTTACCTAATCTTGGATGAGGGCTTCAGTTTAGTTCACCTGAACTGAATTAGCTTTACTACGGGCCTTTGTGGCCTAGAAATCATTCACGTCAAATGATTGTTTTGATCAGTGCAATATTCACGGACGAAATCCAAGAAATTGTTGTAGGAAAAACCTTGTTTTGTCTTGCTACTCTGCACAGAAAAAAAACCAAACCAGCTGTGTTTCTATATAGCTATCAACTTCTACATCTATTTTTATGGTGCTGTGATCAGTCTAAATCTGGCAGAAAATTACGTTAGAGCAATTTATGATATGATAACTCATTTTCGTTATCGATGTAAAGGAAATCCATCCAAGGAAACATTCCTGATCCTAAACTAGATTGTAGGAATTAGAGACTTTCTATATTGAAACCGTTAGCTGAAACAATAATACGTTTACAAGTGCTATATCGCGCCGAAGCTCAGACAATCTCTTTTTCAATTCTCAAAGAAAAAACAGAATAGAATAGCTAGAATTAGCTACATAGGGTAAGAAGAAGAAAAAGTGAATAGAATTTTAAACTTTACCATGTTGCTTTCCGACACAACTGTCTCTCATATTCATAGAATTACTACAGCTTTATAATGCAAATATTAGTACTACTCAAACACCCAGTAACTACCGCATATTAATGTAGAAGCTTGTACTGCATGAATCTTCAAAAAAAAAACGTGTTTTATTTTGCTATATAACATGCAAGAATTTCTAAGTGGACTTGTTTGTTGTCAAAAAAGTAATGGCTCTAAAGGGCCGGGCATACTTCACGCGATTTCAGTCGCGACGCGATTTGGCAATATTCCAACTGTCCATAACTCACTGTAAAGGGTTTCTGTACGGAAGATAGGATGTTTTATCAATCCAAGTAAGTTATACACACTATGCATGTGCGGAATGCTAGTGTTGGGTCTGAAGACTTCTGGCGAATTGCCAAATCGCATTGCGACTGAAATCGCGTGAAGTACGCCCGGCCCTTAATACGTGAGGGTTGTTAACT